CACATTAAGACAGAACAAAACAGTGATGGATAAAGGAAGACTGAGGAACCAGTCTAGATTAGTGGAGACTAAAGACATAAGACAAGTAAATGCAGTGTGAGATCCTGGGAGTTACGACTGGGCAACTGACAAAATCCAAATACGGACTGTATGGATGTTAAATTTCCTGAATTTGAAAACTGCACTATGGTTACGTGGGAGAACTCCTTGCTCTTAGGTGAGAGATGCTGAAGAGTTTGGGGGTGAGGGGTCACGAAGCCTGCAATTTACTCTAGGGTCAGAGACAGGAGAAAGTGCGAGCTGCTGGATGGAAGAGCTCCCAAGGTCCTCGAGGAATCTGTTGTCCAGATTCACAGAGTCAAAGGGACTCCTTGTGGGGACAGAGTCCCCAGTGGCAGGCCGGGGGGATCTCATCCTTGTGGGGCAGAGGCAGGCTGGCAGGAACAGTAGTTGTGTCTAGAATGCCCCCCTTCCGCCCCTGCAAACATTGTGCTAACGGGAAAAAAAGAGGTCTTTGTGCCATCTCCAGGTCTGCCACCTGGTGGCGTTTTTCTGCAGCACATCTTCAAAGGGTTTCTCCCCGCCCCAGGTGCAAGACGGTGGGACACTGCCCCCCGTGGCTGATCAGGAAGGATGCAGGAACGACTCCACAGAAGACCCCACCTCAGCTACCTGAGTAACAGATTCTAGCACCTTGCACTTTCCCCTCTGCTCCGGGACCTGGGCCTGCAGTGTTTCTGTCTCTCTCCGCTGTGGAGTCCTCCGATGCCCTTCTGGTCTTCAGGAAGAAACCCTAACTCCTCAGTGAGCCCGGCCAGACCCAGGCTACCTGTCCGGACTCACTGCCTTGGTAGGCTCCCTAAATCCAGCCACACCAAATGACTCACAATTCTGTGAGTGTGCCGTGAACACCCTTGCCCTGCCCTCCTCATCCTGGTTGGCCCGTCCTTCTCCCTCGGTCTTCACTGCAGCAAGTCCTTTCCTCCAGCTGCCAGAGCACCTGAGCATACCTCCATTCCCTCCCACCGTCCTGGAACCGTTGGTTTCTCTGAGTCCCCCCACCGCTGAGGGAGCAACTCCCATTCACTGCCGCTTCCCTGCACCCTGCCCAGGGCCTGGCGCACTGCTGAATGAGAAAAGGGAGTGTAGAACTGTTTGTTATGCACCCAGAATGCATAAAATGCCATACTGGGGCAGGGGACAGAGATGACCCAACTGGAGGCCAGGGCTGGAGTGGGGCCCAGAAGTACAGACGGATGGTCCATCGGCTCATGGCAGGAGACAGAATCCAGGATCAGAGAGACAGGGGATCACAGCTATAGGTACTGGGCTGCAAGGGTGCTGGGAACCATTTGTCCAGGCAAAGTCCCATGTCAGAAATGCCTGGATGCCTGGGGCAGGGAGGGTGCCAGGCTGGCTGATCGCCAGGCGTTGCGCTTAGACAGTGTTTGGTGCCAGAGAGCAGCCCCCACCGAGGCGTGAATTCATTCATGGTGTGCCTGAGGCTTGGGCCCAACCTCTCACTGGCAAAGGGACAGATTAGCCCCCTTCTGGCTGAATCCAGCAAAAAAGATCTGCTTTCCGGCAGCAAGATGTGGGCGCATGTGAATGATGGCGTTGCCTGCCCCCTCACACCAGTGATCGGTCCTCCGGGTCCCTCTAGGCTCGTAGTGTGAAGGTCCTTCTACTGGTCAGAAAAATTCCTAGCACTCTTGCTACTCCCAGAGAAGAGAACCTCGGGCTCAACTCTGCATTTTATCTGACTACACCTGGAATGAACTACCAAGGCTTGAGGTGAGCAGTGTGAAATCTGAACGCATGACCCAACTAAGATCTGTGGCTCTGCTTTGTAGACCAGGCCCCTCCATGCTCGAGGTCTGCCAATTCCCTCGAAAATTCCCCAGGCTCATTCCTGGATGGTGAATTTTGGACTCAGAGCCCACATGGGAGGCCCACACCCTCAATGACCTCTCACAACAACTAACTTTTGCACACAGTTCTGTAGCTTACAAGGCACTTTCCAATACATGATTGTAACTGATACCCCCACCACCACTACCACCAAACACAGCACTTTCTAGAAAAAGAAATCAAGACTCAGAGATACTGAGACCTGCCTAAAGTTACCTGACTGGTTGCTCAAAGAGAGGGGATGTGGACACAGGTTCTCCAGCTCTGAATCCCATGTTCTTTCTTCCTCCACTGCTCCTTCCCCACCTGAAGACGGCTGCAGGCGTAGGAATGCCAACCACAGAGAGGACAATGCCCTCTGGGTTTCCTTATAAGCAATCATTCTCCTGGAATCAGGGAGCTGCAGCCAGAAAGCTGCAGGCAAGCAGGGAGAGAGGGGTCGTGCTTGTCCCTGGAGAAGGAGGTGTTTCCAGCCCCCAAGCAGGTCTCTCTGGAGAGAGGGGCTGAACTGAGGTGGGGTTACTGAGATATCCTCCTACCAGCCAACAAGTTAGTGTCCCCCACCCCTCCGTGACACAAGCCCTCTGGGAGCCACCCCCACTGCACCCCAATACTCACACACAGGTGTTTCTACCAGTGCTCTCAACTTCCCTACAGACCTGCTCTCCAACCACAAAGTCAACTCAGGGAACCAAGAGGAATTTGCAGCCCATGCAATCAAGTGTTTCAAACCATAGACCAGTGACCCAAATGCCAGTTGGGAGAGCAAGATGGATTTTGAGGTCAGGTAGGTCCGGGTTCAAATTCAGACTCCTGTCACTCACTTGCTTTGTTTCCCTGAACTAGTCACCTACCCTCTGTGAGAGCGAAGCCTAGAGACCTGGGCCAGCTTACCAGGCCCACAGGAGGCTGCCTGAGGCCTATTCTCTTTGCCTCCTGCTAGCTGGAGGGAAGGGGGCTCTGTTTGTCAGCTTCTCCTTTGAGTTTTAATGACAGCCACCCCCGAAGTAGGCATGAACCCTCTCCCTGGGAGCCTGAAGGCTATGAGGAACCTCTCCAGGAACCCACTGGAAGCCATTTGCTTCTGAGCTCAGGATGGAGCTGGGGGATGGGGAGGCAGATTAGTAATCCCTTGGCTTCAGCCAGGACTCCCTGATGACAAAGATTCATGCATGCGCTGTCATCTTCACTGTTCCAAAACAGTGTGATGATTTTGCTCATTTTTAAAATGCAGGATATGTATAGCTCCAATTTGTCAAGAATCCATAACATCACATCATTCCCTAAACGTCGTGCTTTACTGCCTCGGGGGTACCGAGTGAACTGGCTGCTTCTACCACAAGCGTCTGCTCCCTCTCGTGGCCCAGGGTGAACCCCACGCCCTGAAGCCACTCTGCTCTGGGGCATGTGGGGGAGTACCTGCAGCAGCCAGAGAGGAAGTGACTCAGCCCGGTGGCAAGTGGGAGGGGCGGCCAGAGAGAGGGCCCTGTGCCCAACCTTCTCCCCCTCCACACATCCGCACCAGACCCAGCCTCTGTCACCGCCTCTCCCGGCAGGGCTACAGTGTGGCCAGCGCAGCAGTCCTGGGGCCGGCAGGGGCCTGAAGACCCCACTGCTCGCAGGAAGCCCAGAGGCTGCAGTTCAGAGGTCCAGCTCCGGGCTCCTTTAGAAGGCAAGAGTCACATACAAGGAGATTACATAATCAGTGATGTCCCTCTTCACCCCGCTGCCCCACTGGGCTCCTCTGTGGCCTCCATGAGGGCTGCGGGCGGACAGACTGGAGGCCGAAAGGCCCCTGGCCAGAAGGATGTGTTCCCGAGTGACTCTGGGAAAAAGAGCTCCAGGGCTGTGCACACGGAGGGGGACCCATGGGCCCCTCTGGGGAAAAGACAAACGGAAGAGAGACCAGTCCCTGCAGATGGGGCAGAGGGCTTCACCGGCAGCCACTCTGATAGCTCCCAGAGCAGAATCGAGGGCAGCAACACCAGCCCTGCCACTAGCCCGCCCCTCCCAAGGGCCTCCGGAAGCAGCTGATGTGACAACAAATAATCCGTCACTGTGTGTGGGTGTCAGAGGAGGAAGGGACACACTTAATAGCTCTTTCTGGGGCCGTGCTGCTCTGGTATCTCCCATCCAGAGAAGGAACCTGGGGAAGTAGCCAAGCACCCTGGCTTGGGAGACATTCCTGGTGGCCCCCTGGCTCGGGGGGGGGGGCGGGGCGGAGGGTGGCTTCTGCCTTGTGCAGTGAGGCCAGACCCAGGTCACTGACAGCCCTCCCCTTTCATGCCTGCCTGCCCTGCTACTAAGGGGACCCATCCTCAGCTCAAACCATCAGTGATTGCCTTGTGTGGTGACTCAGCCAGGGAACCAGGCTTGCCACGGAGTCCCACGTGGAGTTCGGGTTCTTGCCGCCCACAATGGCCCAAATCACGCAAGGAGAAAAGAGCAAGGGACTGAAGAAAGGCTGGCTGAGTATGAGAGCCACCTTCGGGTCTACGGTGCAACCTGAATATGTTTCTTGGCCGGCCCTCGGCTCACCCAGAGGAGAGGGACGGCGCCGCCCTGCAAAGGGTTCCCTGAGGACCGCTGGAGCCGGCGTGGGGGAGGCGCCAGACGAATGTTAAGTTTCCTTCCTTCCACCCCAGATTTCCAGAGCGACAGACGGCAAAGCCTGGGCCAGGCCCAGGTACATGTGACTCTCTCTCTTTATACTGTTGTTGTTGTTGCTTTTGGGGGGGGAGGGGGCAGAGGGAGAGAGAGAATCTTAAGCAGGCTCCAGGCCCAGCACAGAGCCTGACTCGGGGCCCAATCTCACGACCCTGAGATCACGCCCTGAGCCGAAATCAAGAGTTGGATGCTCATGTAAGAAAGGCAACTGGGACTGGGGTCAGCAAACTGCCTTGCCTCAATGGCTTCTATCAAAAATGAAATCAATTAAATTTCACAACTTCCACAACGAACAGCACAGTTCCCAGCAGCTGCTGGATGCAGCTGCTCGGAGGGGCAGGACTGCAGAGGCTGACGGCGGGCTGGGCCGTCAGGGTGCCCCTCAGAGCCGTTCAGAGGGCAGGCCCACACGCGTATCTCACCTGTTCTGAGCCATCGAGAGGCCACAGGGCTAGTGCTGAGGTCCGTGAGCCACCACCGACAGACACTCCGTGCATGCACTGGTGAGAGCATGCTCATCACGTCTGCTTGCCTGCTTGTCTCCTGAGAGGGTGAGCTCCTAGGAGCGAGGCCTGGGCCTTGGCCACTTCAGAATCCCCTGCCCGGGCTCAGCAGGTGCGCAGAAAGTACGTGTTGAAACCACAGCCAACAAAGTAAAAAAAACAAAAAACAAAACAAAAAAAAAACTGCACACGTCGGGCCCAGCCCTTCAGTTCTAGGGATTTATCCTACACATATATGCACACAAGTTCACAAAGATAAATGTGCTCAACGAGGGTCCCTATAGAACCACGTAGAGCCACAAAAAACCACAAAAGATAAAACCACAAAAATCAAAACATGCATCCAGACAGGAAACACTCTACATGTCCACCAAGAAAGGACTGGTTCACTACATCACGTTCCATTTTATGGAATACTGTGCAGCCTATAAGACTAGGTCCACACCTGCTGATAAAGATGCCTATGGTATATTACGTTAAAAACAAACAAACAAACAAACAAACCAGTACTATTTGTATAATATGATCCCATTTGGGTAAAGAAAAAAAGATTATACATACCCTTGAATATGCACAGGAAATTTCTAGAAGAAACTCAACAGTGGATACCTCCAGGCAGGATGAGGGGCCCAAGGAGGGGAGAGAGAGTTTTATTTTATATTTTTCCATGTTGCTTAACTATTTTACCATACACTACTATAATAATAATTCTTTTTAAATCTAAATTTTTAACCCATTAGAACTGTTAAGAGGAATAACAGGCTCAAGGGCGGCCGGGCCTCAGAGAAGGCACACCTGAGGGAGCACGGCATGGGACGCGTGTGGAAGTCTAAGTGTCCTGAACGCACCAGCCTGTGGGCTGCTGCGAGGCTGCATCAGGAGGGTCGGGCAGAAGGGACAAAAGCACCACTCCTGGTACACCTAAGCTCTCTCAGGTGCCGCACACATGCTCATAAGGGACCTCCTGCTTGCCTGCTGGCGTCCATACAGGCTGGGAGGACCACCGAAACGTTCAAACTGGAGACCTGGGGGCTGGCTCAGGACGCCTCTTCCAGGAACACTCCCAGACCTGCTAGCGAAGAGCTTACCTGGACCTCACCAGAGCCGGCTCCTGGGTCCTGACTGCAGGCCAGGCACGAGGCTGAACCTGCTACAGTAGCACCTCGTGTGCAATCCCCATTACTGCCTTAGGAGCAAGGAGCATTGTGTCCATTTTACAGAGGAGAAGATGAGGCTGAAAACAGGCAATGACTTGTTCAAGGTCACTCAGCTAGCGAGCGGCAGAACTGGGTTTTGAAGCCAGGTCTGATCTGAGCCTAGGCGCTTAACTTCTAGGTGATATGGCTGAAAGTCTCCCTACCCACAGGCCAGGAGGGGGAGGGACCTGCTTCTAGGAAGGGGCAGTTCCGTTCTTCAGGCAAAGAAGGGACTGCTTCAGCTTTGCCAAAGACCCTTCCAGCTCTACAACTCCATGAGTCTAAGATTCCGTGTGGGTTGGACTCCGTGGGGCCAGAGCCTGCCCAGGATGAACAGCATGGCATGGGCTCTAGAGTCACACGGTGTAGGCCGAAGTCTGGCTCTGCTCCTACCGGCTGTGAAACAGTGGACGGGTTACTTAGCCCCTCTGGACCTGGGGGTTCTCTTCTATAAAACAGACAGCCCCTCCTTCCTTAGATTCTGAGAATTTTTCAATAGGTACTGCAGAGTACTTAGCAAAGAACCTGGAGGGTGGTGGTAATCTGCCTTTTCTGGCTGCTTTCCTTCCTGTTCCTTCAGCAGGGACCACATTGGGAGAGCAGTCAGAAGAGCATGCACCCTGGGGAACTCCCGCCAAATGCAGTACCTCCAGGAGCTCCACGTCGACTGCAAAAAGGAGGACTCTTACTCTCTAGAGGCCAGAAATGGGGTTCCAAGAGCTCCACAGAATTTGGGGCCAGCCAGTCCTAAGGTCTCCCAAGGAATGGAGCTTCTCTCTTGAAGTACCTGCTGTCCCCCTATCAAACCTCAAACGAGCTCTGCCCCAAACCTAAAGACAAATGACAGGCACATCAGTCCTGCTCTTGCCAATTCCTGCTACAATGTCCAGGCCCCTTTCTTCTTCCTGCTGGATGCTTGGGTCACAGACTCTTTAAAAGCTAAACATCTTCTGTCTCTTTTGCCAAGTAGGTGGCGGTCTGTAAAAAATGTATTTAGAGTGGACAGCTTCGTTCTGAATAACAAGAGCCCTTCTCAGTTTTCTCTGGGGCTTTCCAACAACTAGAGTTTCTTTGAAATCGTCAGGCCTGTATATTACTGTACTTGTAAGCTCTGGGGAGCCTGAACTCATTCCCCAGCTAGACCACCATTAATCAGAAGAGGATGACCACCATGGGGCGGTAGCCTCTTCTGGGGGAGGAGTCCTCAGTGCCCCTCTCAGGAAGGGGCACCTCAACCCAAAAGAATACCTTTGCTTGCTGGAGCAAAATCAGGCTGCTCCAGTTTATTAAAAGGGAGCTTAGAAATTCTTTAAAAAAAAAATAATAATAAAAGGTACTCTTTGAAGCAGCAACCACTCTTCTAGAATCCTGCAGATTCCTGTAGATTCCTAAGGTGGGCAAAATCATATGCATGCAGACGGTCACTACAGCTCTGTTTGGAGAACTAAAGACAGAGAATCACCTAAGTTCATCAGCACAGAGCTTGCTGAACAAATTATATACACTCATAATGAAAAATGACCCAAACATCCACGTGCCAGAATGGAACCATCGCTAAGGCAGGAAGTAAATCAAAGCAAGCGCTACCATCCCTTCGCCTCCCAGATGTTGATTACAGAGCCGCTGCTGTGGGCCCTGGGCCCACAGTCTCATCTGGAAGAAATGCTCCTGTTTCAGGCCATGTTCTCTTCTACCTTCTTGACCCCACAAACCCAAGGACAAAGTCTGTGAAAATCTCCCCAGTTCCAAAGGGCTTGTTTGAAACCCTGTCCCCCAGCACACCCTCTCCATAGCACAGTCAGATTCTGGTCTAGCTCTGCACTCCTGTAGAGCTCAGGGGGACAAGGGCATAGGGGCAGCTCCTTCTCATCTCTCTGGTGGCTCTGAGTCCCAGTGGCCTCTGGCAGACACTTCCTCTTGAGACGAGGCTGCTAACCCAGCCTAGGGAGTCAATCCAATCTCAAGTTCTCATTCCAGATAAGGTCTCCAGGGAGTACTGGGAAAGCCGTCTCTCCCCTGAGGATACGCTGCTGTCCAGGACCCCATCACCTGAAGCAGCGTGAAGAAGAGCTGCTCTGTAGGGCCACTGAAAGCTGGAGAAATTATAGGAGTTTGGCACACTCAGCCAGTTGAGTTTCTGAAACACTGTACAAGGTCACCTCCCTGGGCAAATCTGGGCAGAGGCAAGGTGAAGAGAGGGAAGCTGCCCTTCTCCCAGGTGCTGACTCAGGCATAACCAGAGGGAAGCCCAGCCCGAAGCTGGACAGGGTGCCATAGACTTTGTAACTGATCCTCTCCCGTGAGATGTGCTCAGGTCTTACTGATTGTCTTCCAAGCCGCCCTATCTCTGCTCTATCATTCACTCTTGTCACCCAAACCAGGAACCTTCTCGTCACCTGCCACCACTGCTCCTCCCTCAACCATCACTTCCAAACATTCCCAGAGTCTGACTGATTTCTCCCCAGACAGCTCTGATCTCCGCCCTTCCTCTCCATCCCAACTGCCTCTGCCCTGATGCAGGCCCGCACGAGCACTTGCTCTGAGGGCTGCAGCAGCCTCCCTCTGCACTCCATCTCGCTCTCTCCCCCGTCCTCTTTCCCCGCAGCTAGGGGGCTCTTGGGAAGATGCAGGGCTAACGGTGCTTCCTCCACTTAAAGCATCCCATTGCAAGAGAATAAGAGAATAAGAAGTTCAAGCATCTTAGACTGGCGCCTACCTCTCCAACACATCCCACAGCCAGGTCCCTTCACGCCCTGTGCCAGAGCCTCTCTGGTTTCCAAAGTTGCACCCACACCAGCAAGCATCCTGGCCTGCGCCACGCTGCTCCCCTGCCCAGGGTGCGTCTGAGCCCTTGGAGAACTCTCCTTGCCCTCTGGGAGCCAGTTAAGCTCTAAGGGCTCTCCAAAGTTCTCCCCAATCTCCTCCTCCTCCCCCGGTGGTTCCCACTACATGCTAGACAGACTGCTATGAGACTTGCCAAACTATGCAAGTGTTAATTGGTTAGGAGTCGGCCTCGCCCCTGCTGGACCGCAGGTTCCTCCAGGCCAGGGGCTGCCTCTCCATCCTCCTTCTGCTACATACGGGGGCTCGTGTGTGTGCAACTGGGGCTCTGGAGTTTGAGCCACGACACACATCAATGTGTGTGATGCTTCCTGAGGATACTAATTCAGATACCAGACCAGGGTCACTAAGAGGGACACACAGAAGAAACTCTACATACCTTTTTTTCTCCTGAATACTTTAAAATATGATTTTTTTTTCCCCCTCAGCACTCCTTCTGTTTCTTAAAAAAATGGTTCTTTCAAAGAGCTGGGCTGAATCATCCGCATAGCTCCCATACAGACTGGGTAAACTCCCCACAGATTTCCTTTTCAGAAAGAATACAATAAAATTCTGTCATCTTGTGATTCCTCAGGACACTTCTGACAGCTCATGGGACACAGTTCCAGTTGAGACTAATTGCTTCAACTCTTTCTTGGAAGTTCTTTCCTACAGTCTGTAATAACACTTACCAAGTATTTCTCACTCAGTGTGTGCTAAATGTTCAACTTGCAACATCTTACTTAATCCTCACAACTGCCCTCCTAGGGAGGGGCCTTGATGCCCCCACTTTACAGATGACAAAGCTGGGCATGGAGAGAATAAGCTACCGCTTGCGACCAGCAGGGCTGGGACTGGAAGCCAGATCTGTCTTACTGCAGAGCTAAACAGGCTCTTAATGAGAAGAGTTTGCTGCCTTCCCAGGTCGAATGAAAGACCCGGGAGCGAGGGCAGCACCCTGTATGATAGGCCTTCTGAGAGGGCAGCCTTACCTCCCCAGCGGCTCAAGCGACCTGCGACCCCAGGAAGAGAGGGGCACATGCAGCAGGCACCCCTGTGCTGGGCGGAGAAGCTCAGAGCAAGGCAGGGAGCTCGACACCTGTCACCCTCTGCCTACAAGTGCTTTCTCGGCAGGGACCCCCCCCACCCTGGCACGTACTCTCCCCCGCTCAGGGGCCTGCAGTGGCCTCTTGAGAGGAATCCAGTCCTTTCGGCTTTCCCCTCCTTGTCCCTCCTCTGCTGGGACTGACTCCACACAGATCATTCTAAAACACAGATCCAGGGGCGCCTGGGTGGCTCAGTTGGTTAAGCGACTGCCTTCGGCTCAGGTCATGATCCTGGAGTTCCAGGATCGAGTCCCGCATCGGGCTCCCTGCTCAGCAGGGAGTCTGCTTCTCCCTCTGACCCTCCCCCTTTCATGTGTTCTCTCTCTCTAATAAATAAATAAAATCTTTAAAAAAAATAAAAAAAAAATAAAACACAGATCCAA